AAAGTGAACGAAATCGAGGGGAAGGGTTTGGTTTCGATTCTAACTTGTCCTTTCCGATTTACTATCCCAGTTTAGATATAAAAATCAGTTCTATTAGATTTCTCAATCGAAAATCCAAAAACACTTTGGTCTTTTTCTGTGGATTTCGATTTCAAAGATGGAGTCGGTTTTAATTTATTTGATTCGGATTTCCATTTGAAGTTCGAGTCTACCGATGATAACGTTTCTGTTCTTCATTTGATTCTGATTTTCGGTTCTTCGAGTATGGGAATGGAGTTAAATCGAGGTTGATTTGAGTTCGTCGCTGGTGAAGTTCTCCGTGCCCGGTCCGGCTTGTTCGAGCTCTCTCGTCGAGCTTGTATCTTTGTATTCATCTCCATGTATATAAAAGGTTCGTCTTTTTGTTCTAATTTACAGGTATTTATCAATCCTTGGTTTCTTTACTTTATTTGTTGTTCGAGTTATGTATAATCTATCCTCCAGTTCTTTGTATTTTTATCCCGTTTTCTTCACTGTTGGAACGATTTAGTTGCCTTAACTTTGAGTAGGTGAATACTGTCCCTTGTTATTCTTGTCAATATATAAGAACTAGAAGCATCAAATTGATATATTTGAGATTCTAAAAGAGAATTGAATAAATTCCAAGTGTCACCAGGATAGTATTATGTATTTTGTGTTGATATATAACTTGCATGCATCAATCTTAATGATTCCATACCTTTGGTTTGAATTCCTAAGATTACTCAGTTCCTGATGTTTCTCTATGAAGGTATTCTATGCAGTAGAATTGTAAAAGTAAATGGATTCATGTAAGTCAAACTAAGGATAAATAAATCATCGTGGCCCTGGGTACGGTTCCCGTGGCATGGTCACGATACATAAATCTAAAATCCGGGTGTGCATTTCGTGTGACCCTGTTCTAATTTCCAACAAGGTTAAATAGAACGTGTCGTGAACCACGGGTGCATTTCATGTAGCGTGGCTTACGATGTGTTTTAAATAACCTTGAACTTTTCCTGAAATATTAAAAGCAGCTAAAAAGTTAAAAATGCACAATAGGTTTAAGACATGTAAAAGATCAGATAATTAGGCCAATAATAATGGTTGAGCGAACGTGCTAAAGCCACAGAACCCGGGAATACCTAACACCTTCTCCCGAGTTAACAGAATTCTTTACCCAGATTTCTGTGTGCGCAGACCATAAATAGAGTCAACCTACCTTGATTCGGGATTTTAACCGGTGACTTGGGACACCAATAAACTATCCCAAGTGGCGACTCTGATTTTAATATAAATAATCCCGTTTCGATTGTCACTTAAATTGAAAAAAACTGCCTTACACCCTTGCGGGTGTAGGAAAAAGGATGTGTGACAGCTCTGGCGACTCTGCTGGAGACCCGAACTCAGAATCTCTGGTTCAGGGTTCAAGAATTCGAGCTTAGATTAATTGTTATATTTGGATTTTATTTATTATTTGGTTTTATTACATGTGTGAGCCTAATGTGCTAAATGTTTCGTTTTTACCTCTTTGATATTATTTGAACTGTATATAAACTGCTAAGAAACCTTTCTCTTCTCACCTTCAGGGATGTGCACGCTGGCGTGACTCCTCTTCTGTTAGTGTTATACCTTAAATTAGGACGAGGCTCGGACAAGTTACTAAGCCGGATGGCCTTTTGGTTCCCGGTACGTAGCCCCCCCTCGGCTCGAGTTGTCCGTTCCGGTACATAAGTCTAGAACAACATACCCAGGTTTTGAACCTAGAATAACTCAGCCTCATGCCGGATCCCTAGTAGGAACGCTTGTTTGTATCATATGCATTTGACTTTGGGGACTCAACACAGGGGTTGAGTCCGTCTAGGACAGGTGTACCCAAAAAATAAAAGACCATCTTGATGCATCTTATGTGCTACATGTTGCAATTTTCAAGGGTAAAAGGGTCATTTGGCGGACCAATAATAGTTGAGGGCAAAAAAAAAGGAAAAAAAAAAAAGAAAAAGAGAGGATGAAGTGTGAAAATGAAACAAGTGGGGCCCAGTTATAATTTTCTTTCACAAGAAAAAAAAAACCAAAAAAAATAAAAATGAAAAATCCAAAAAAAAAGAGTTTGCACTTTCCCAGCATTTTTTTAAAAAAAAAATCAAAAAAAGAGAAAAAGGAAATCCAGAAAGAGTTTACATGTTTCATCACTTTTCAAAAAGGATAAAAATATGTTTTCTCTAAATTAGTTTTTTTTTATTTCTCGCCCGTATCCAATCGGCCCGAACTACGCGAACCTGATTCTCGTTTCCCGGAGCGGGATATGTAGGCAACCCACATAGGGTCCGGTCTTCCTAGTGAATCTTAGGTTCTTGGCTTTGTGGGGTCTTAGCCAAATTTTGCACTTCTAGCCACCTTTTTTGCCACATAAGCCATTTTGCATAAATAGCCTCAACCATGTCTTGCATGTGTCTAGTAGGGAATGTTATTGTCTCACATAGTGTTGGTTTCAGTTTTCTCATACAGGTGGATCTACTTACCGGAGTTTGAGCGTGACAGATACCAGGACCACTGTATTCAGGAGCTGCATGAGGAGCCTTTTATGTTTTTGAGTCTATTGTTCATGTTTTACTTTCTAGTCATGTATAGTAGTATTCAGTCATTTAGTTGATGCTAGAGTCTGTCATAGTCTAGTTAAGTTTGTCGAGTCTTTTGTTATTATTTCCTATTTTGTATTTGAAAAATGTATTATAAATCAAAAATCCAAAAAAAGATAGTTTGTGTTTTTATATTTCCGTTAGAATTTTCTTTAGAAATACTACTCCTAGAAAAAAAATTGAGGTGGTTTTCCTTAGGAAATTAATATCTAGAACTCGAAATAAAAATTGCTTTTATATTTCCTTTTTAGTACATTAATACTAAAAATTCAAAAAAAGAAGAATTTTCTTTTAGTACCTCTTTAAAAGTTTCTTTTAAGATATTAATTCCTAAAATCCAAAAAGATTTTCTTTTGAGGTTCTTCTTTGGGAAATTAGTGAAAAATGAATGAAAAATATGTTCTTTTTATTTTCACTAGAACTTTAGGATATTGTACATAGAAGAAAAAATATTTCATATGTTGTTTATCTTTAGAGCTTCTTCCTTAGGTAATCAAAAACTGAAATCCAAAAATATTTTTTATCTTATTCATTTCTCGTTTCGAATTTTTTTTCCAGGGTTATCAAATGAAAATTCAAAATATTTTTCTTTGGTTTATTCTTTAGATTTCCTTCTTAAAAAACAAAAAAAGAGAATCAAAAAATATTTTTTTTTCTTTTAGGGTTTTTTCCTTAATAATTTCTCATAAAGTATTTGTTTCAAAAAAAGATATATGCATCGTAAGCTTGAGTTTAGAATAGGTTATAGAACATTAAGCCAATAAAATTCTAAAAAAAATTGCTTCTTTTATTTGTCTTTTTCATAAGAGTAGCCATTAAGTTAATAAAAAAAAGAAGAAAAAAGAAAATGAGAACGTTAGTTTGTTTACTTTATTTCCGATCTTCCCGAACTACGCAAAGATCTGATTCATGCGGCGTCATGATACGTAGACAACCTACATAGGTTCGATCGAATCATTTTCTTTTTAAGAAAAAAGGAAACAAAAAAAAATTGAAAAAAAAAGATTTAAAAGAAAAAAAAAAGAAGAAAAAGAAAAAGAAAAAAAAGAGATGTTGTGGGATGTGAGAAACAAGAGGAAAGAAAAGAGTGAAAATTAGAAAAAAAGAGGAAGGAAAATGAGCAAGCCAAGAAGTGCTAGAAAAGAAAAGAAAAGAGAAGATTGAAATGAACAAATTGGGATGATGCCAAGTGACCTTGTGNTGGGCAAGGGGGCCTGGGCCGCTTCTGCGGTCATAACCTCGCTTCTGCGAGGCCGCTTAAGCGGAAAGCCCACCGCTTCTGCGTTTCTAGGCCTGGGCGGATGGACCGTTTCTGCGGTTAGGGGTCTGCTCCTGCGGTTTTCCCTGGGCCTGGCCCCTTCCACTTCTGCGATAAAACGACCGCTTCTACGGTCTCGCTTCTGCGGTCCAAGAGTCGCAGAAGCGGTTATGACAGAAGCAGCATATAAGGTTTTTCCTAAGTTTTCAACTTCACTCGCACCTCGACCATTTGACGCTCGGGGCTCCCGAGCCCCGCCCGAACATACCGACAAGTCTGAAATCACGAGGCGGACCTACTCGAACCCTCGAAACACTCAAAACAACGCTAAATCGGGGAATCAACCCCAAAACCAAATGAATCAAATCATTGAACTTCAAGTTCTTAATTCTCCTCCAACGGGTCAAAACGCCCTTAAACTACTCGGATTGACACCAAATTTTACAGGTAACTCTTAACTGATATTTCGGACTGGTACCAAGTTTCGGAATCGAGATCCGAACACGATACCTAGGAAAACAATGATTTCTTAGTTTATTTAAACCTTTGAAACTTTAACTTAACAATTTCACATAAAAATTCATTACTCGGACTAGGGACCTCGGAATTCGATTCTGGGCATACACCCAGGTCCCATATTTTCCCACGGATCCTTAGAAATTGCCAAATCACGATTCTGGGTCCGTTTTCCCAAAATGTTGACCGAAGTCAAACTTGGCCTTTTTTAAAGAAACTTAAAGAAGCAACTAGACTTATTCTTGCTCAAAACTCTTCTAACTTCCGAACCACCCATCCCCGCAAGTCATAAATTAGCATAAGCAAGTGCGGGAAGTCTTATTTAAGGGAACGGGGTTCAAAAATGCAAAACGACCGGTCGGGTCGTTACAGTTATTTTACATAAGTAGGACTAATTAATAAATGAGATCGCATTTTAGTCTCGTTCGCGGGGAAAGAATAAAATTTGGGCTCAAACGATCCATTTTTAAGCCTAATTTTTGGATCTAACCCATAATTCCCAAGCCCATAATTCCTAGGCCCATACCCCTTAACCTAAAAGAACCTATAAAACTAATCTAAACCTATACACAAAAGGGGACCTCATCAGCCGTTTGGAAAAAGAAGCTAACGCCTAATGAGCTGAAATACACAAAAAGAAGAGATATAGACCTACGCATAAAGCTAGAGCAGCTGAAGGAGGCAGTGCCGTTTTCAAGGACCCCCCCCCCCCATCGTTTCTATCTCCTTCAACAGAATCCTTCCGCCGTTCTTCAACCAAACACAAACGACCCCCCTGATCGTCTTCTTCATTGGAAAAATATACACACAAGGAAGAAGCCACTACACCCAAACAAACACATCAGTTCTGCTTCTTCTTCAACCATATACGCAGATACAGTTGAGGGGAAACGGAGGAGGGAACGGAGAAGGGAACCGGACAGAGGGTGACGGAAAGTGAACGAAATCGAGGGGAAGGGTTTGGTTTCGATTCTGACTTGTCCTTTCTGATTTAGTATCCCAGTTTAGATATAAAAATCAGTTCTATTAGATTTCTAAATCGAAAATCCAAAAACACTTTGGTCTTTTTCTGTGGATTTCGATTTCAAATATGGAGTCGTTTTGAATTATTTGATTCGGATTTCCATTTGAAGTTCGAGTCTGCCAATGATAACGTTTCTGTTCTTCATTTGATTCTGATTTTAGGTTCTTCGAGTATGGGAATGGAGTTAAATCGAGGTTGATTCGAGTTCGTCGCCGGTGAAGTTCTCCGTGCCCGGTCCGGCTTGTTCGAGCTCTCTCGTCAAGCTTGTATCTTTGTATTCATCTCCATGTATATAAAAGGTTCGTCCTTTTGTTCTAATTTATAGGTTGTTATCAATCCTTGGTTGCTTTACTTTATTTGTTGTTTGAGTTATGTATAATCTATCCTCCAGTTCTTTGTATTTTTATCCCGTTTTCTTCACTGTTGGAACGATTTAGTTGCCTTAACTCTGAGTAGGTGAATATTGTCCCTTGTTATTCTTGTCAATATATAAGAACTAGAAGCATCAAATTGATATATTTGAGATTCTAAAAGAGAATTGAATAAATTCCAAGTGTCACTAGGATAGTATTATGTATTTTGTGTTGATATATAACTTGCATACATCAATCTTAATGATTCCATACCTTTGGTTTGAATTCCTAAGCTTACTCAGTTCCTGATGTTTCTCTATGAAGGTATTCTATGCAGTAGAATTGTAAAAGTAAATGGATTCATGTAAGTCAAACTAAGGATAAATAAATCATCGTGACCCTGGGTACGATTCCCGTGGCATGGTCACGATACATAAATCTAAAATCTGGGTGATCATTTCATGTGACCCGGTTCTAATTTCTAACAAGGTTAAATAGAACGTGTCGTGAACCAGGGGTGCATTTCATGTAGCGTAGCTTACGATGTGTTTTAAATAACCTTGAACTTTTCCCGAAATATTAAAAGCAGCTAAAAAGTTAAAAATGCACAATAGGTTTAAGACGTGTAAAAGATCAGATAATTAGACCAATAATAATAGTTGAGCGACCGTGCTAAAATCACAGAACCCGGGAATGCCTAACACCTTCTCCCGGGTTAACAGAATTCCTTACCCGAATTTCTGTGTGCGCAGACCATAAATAGAGTTAACCTATCTTGATTCGGGATTTTAACCGGTGACTTGGGACACCAATAAACTATCCCAAGTGGCGACTCTGATTTTAATATAAATAATCCCGTTTCGATTGTCACTTAAATTGGAAAAAACTCCCTTACGGGTGTAGGAAAAAGGAGGTGTGACACTAAGTGTTGATACCCAATTTTTCCCTATGTATTTATATATACTCAAAATATTCTCAAAATAGTATGTACATGCATATATAAGCATGCCCTAGAGTTTTGGTATTTTTTCCTTATTTTTTAAAGATCTTAAAATTAATTTGTTGTCTATTTTAATAGTATAAAATTCAATAATTATTCCCAAACTAGAATTTTTGGTGAATAATTTATTTCATTCTTATATTTACACTAAGATATAATTAAAGTAATTTTTGCGTATTTTTATACATTTGTTTGGTATTTTTTTTTAGCTAAATTGCATACAATTGCAATTATGGCCTATTTTACAATTAACAGCATTTCATAATCATAAAATCACTTTTAGTATTTTTACATTAATATTTATATGTTATTAATTAGTTCAGTACCTGTAATTTATTTTTGAATCATTTCTTACTATTTTTATAAAATAATAAAAGGGGAAAATTGGACATTTAACAAACATCCCTTATTATTTCAATTATAGCCAATTTAGCCCCATACCCATCAGATTTTTAATTAAACCCAAATGGCCCAATAACCTGTTTAAACCAGCCCGACCCAAGCCCCCTTTGATCTGAACCGTTGATCTTTGAGATCAACGTCCTCAATTCGCTTCCTTAATTAAACCTAATGACTAACCCTAATTCCCTCATTTTCATTTTAGTAGCCGCCCCTGAACACCCTCCCCCTCTCAAACTCTCTCTCGAGTGTTCTTGAAACCCTAATCACCTTCCCCCCATTTTCGACCTCTAACTCACCAGAACCCATGGCCTCTGAGGCCATGGATGATCTATGCGCACCTCTTATCGCTCCTATGTGCTTGGTACTCGAAGGTTCGAGGCTAGACCTCAAAGGTCTCCACCCAGACCTCCGCCGACTTGAGGTTCCCGGCCATCTCCGGCCTGGCTCCGGCACATCTTAGCCTCCTGAGCCTGTTCCCAGTCTCATCCGACTTAGATCGGACGTTTTCGAAGCCTTTCTCATTCTAGGGTTCATCTGAAAACCCTAACTATCGAGGTTCTTCTCCGGTTATCTCCAGATCTGTGTGTATTCATGCTTTATCTTGAGTTTTCAAGTGGTTTCCCCAATTTTTCTTTTTAAAATCTTACTTTCAAAGTTGCCTCTTTTCTGGTTTAGGGCTTTCCGAAAATGCTTCAGTGTTTTCCGACTTTTCTTCTTCCTTTCTTATGTGTGTTTTATATTCTTATGTGTTTTCATATATACATGTTCTTCTACCATGTTTTCTGTATTTTGTTCTTCTCTCTACTATGTTTTCACATGCTATGTTTATATGCCATGTTTCTATGCTATGTCTCACATGCTATGTTCTGGTACTTGCCTTCCACTATGACTTGATATGATTCGTCTACGGCATTTTTCAACCATGTTCATTAAGTGTTCCTACTATGCCTGCTTAAGCGTATTTGCCTCTACTGTCTCTTCTACTCTCATTGTGTTTCAAATTAATTCCCTTACTCTATTTTACATTAAACTTTCTACTGTATCTGCTTGTTTCCCTTCTTTGCATTTGGTTCAAGTCGAAAACCCTAGGATTTGGGGTTTTTTGACGAGTGTGGTCTTGTATGTTTGGACTAGGGTTCCATTCGAGCCCTGGACTCTCTCAAATACACTTTGGATCCATATAATAAGTTTGAATCCTTTTGTGTATGAACTCTTCTGATTAACATGACAACCCCTTTTATATGTGTNTGAGCCATTGAAGTTTCACCCCTAGGAGACGCACTTCTTGTAACTCGTAGTTGACACGCTTAGCTAGACTTTTTCATTTTTTGATTTTTGATGTAATAACAGGACCGCAGACCAGAACCTCGGCGGAACGGCACCTCGATCGGCTCTCCACCTCGGTATACTCCATCATCTCACTCACTTCTGAACTACACGTGTCCTGATTCCTTTATAGCCAAGGATATGTAGGCAGCTCAGATACCAGGGCTCGGTCACATTCTCCTTTCTTTTAGCTTTTGGTCTCTTTAAATAAGGGTCGGGTCAAAAACCTGTCTAGTCGTTCTTTTTCTGAAAATACTTCGTATTTCCAGTAAAAGAGGGGCAGCTGTAGACATGTGATTTTTGACCCTCCCCAATATTTTTTATATTTTAGCATGTAAATATTTAATTTAGGCCTAATATCGCTATTTCAATTAATTTTGACTCTTTTACTTTATTTTATTACAAAAAAATAAAAATTACAAAAAAATAGTTTCATTAATGTTTTGTAGTCATTTTTAATCTTGAAAAATACCAAAAATAATTTTATTTTGACGGTCAGTCTTATTTTAACAGTCATTGTCACGACCCATTTTCCATAATAGGTCATGATGGCGCCCGACACCATTTGTCAGGCCAGCCTAATATCGCTATTTCAATTAATTTTGACTCTTTTACTTTATTTTATTACAAAAAAATAAAAATTACAAAAAAATAGTTTCATTAATGTTTTGTAGTCATTTTTAATCTTGAAAAATACCAAAAATAGTTTTGTTTTGACGGTCAGTCTTATTTTAACAGTTATTGTCACGACCCATTTTCCATAATAGGTCATGATGGCGCCCGACACCATTTGTCAGGCCAGCCAACGCGGAAGTATAATTAAATTCTCATTTTACCCTTGCCAAAAGAAAGCCATTATAATAGATTTTTCCCCCAAATAAAGTCATAAACCAGTAAAGATCAATAAAATGTAAAGACAGTTATACAACCCAAAAATGACGTCTACTACTGTGTGTGCCAGAACCTGGTGTCACAAGCTAAGGGCAACTAGTAGAATATACACAAAATGAATAATGCCCTATCCTACTGTCTGAATCAGGATAGACAGAAACAACAACAAAAAAAAACAAGGAAGACTCCTTCGGCTGCGGATCGGCAAGAAGGGAGTGCAGCTCACCGTAGAAGTCCCAGATGCGCTCACTGATATGCACCAGAGTGATGTCCGGATCCACCTGCCTCAAATCCTGTACATTTAAGTACAGAAGTGTAGCATGAGTACATAAACAATATGTACCCAGTAAGTATCCCGTCTAATCTCGAAGAAGTAGAGACGAGAGGTCGACTCGATACTTACTAAGGTCAATTAATATATATATATATATATAATATATAAGTATGATGTATTCGAATCATGGAATTTACAAGTATCAACAGTTTATGGCAAGTGGCATAAGTCAAGAACTTTACAGCATCAAGTTTATAATTTTATCATAGGAGATAATGGCAAATTAAAGCATGTATAGGCTTTTCCATAATTTACATGCGCACATAATACCGAGGCGACGACCCGATCCAACAGAAATAAACTGTGCACTTGCCGAGGGTCGACGGCGCGCTTATAGATGCATCTATTCATACCGAGGCGATCGGCCCGATNATCTTACTTTCAAGTCGCTATCTTTTCTGGTTTAGGGCTTTTCCGAAAATTACTTCAGTGTTTTCCGACTTTTCTTCTTCCTTTCTTATGTGTGTTTTATATTCTTATGTGTTTTCATATATACATGTTCTTCTACCATGTTTTCTGTATTTTATTCTTCTCTCTACTATGTTTTCACATGCTATGTTTATATGCCATGTTTCTATGCTATGTCTCACATGCTATGTTTTGCTACTTGCCTTCCACTATGACTTGATATGATTCGTCTACTGCATTTTTCAACCATGTTCATTAAGTGTTCCTACTATGCCTGCTTAAGCGTATTTGCCTCTACTGGCTCTTCTACTCTCATTTGTGTTTCAAATTAATTCCCTTACTCTATTTTACATTAAACTTTCTACTGTATTTGCTTGTTTCTCTTCTTTGCATTTGGTTCAAGTCGAAAACCCTAGGATTTGGGGTTTTTTGACGAGTGTGGTCTTGTATGTTTGGGCTAGGGTTCCATTCGAGCCCTGGACTCTCTCAAATTCACTTTGGATCCATATAATAAGTTTGAATCCTTTTGTGTATGAACTCTTCTGATTAGCATGACAACCCCTTTTACATGTGTTAAAATCTTTC